GACCCCTAGACCCTACCATACATCGCCGATAATGGGTCTCTATTTGGAAAGGACTATTTGTTAATAGACGACGCGTTGCCGCTTCCCAAAGGCAAGCAGATATCAGAAGAAGAGCTTGGGGGGCTCTGGACACGGCGTGACCGTTTTGATGGTCTTGTGAATCTTGGACTCGAGCATGAAGAGCTGACTTGCGAAGGCTTTCTCGACCACGGGGGACGCGTTCCGCTGCTGCTGATGCCAGGGTACAAGCGAGAAAACCTCACAGCAAGATCCCCAGCGCGAGCTCGTCTCACATACGAATTTCATTACGACGGGCCTGCGTTACCCAGCCAACGGCTAGGCCGAGCACTTATCAGCGACAGGCTCTCCAATTACGCGGATTTCGTGGCCGACCCGCTCTTGGACTACATCCGGCGTTTGCCCGCGCCCGAGCGATCCAGAGTGGATGAGCACCTGCGAGCCCGATACATTGCGATTGAGAGCCACAACCTGCCTGGACCGGACCATGCCGCGGTGCCCATGCGTCCCCACTTGCGCCCGAAGTTGTGCGCAATCGCGAGCGAAGTGGGGCGCAGTGAGGCTGTCCGACTTGGCGGGCTGATCATTCACCTCCTTCGCCACAGCTCGGCCCACGCGCTGAGCTCAGGCGGGTGGGCGGACGCGGATGTGCTGATAAGGGTGCTGACGGACGTCGGTTTTGACCGCCCGTGGGCAAGATTCACGCGCGCGATTTCCGCGCTTCGATGGGGGCGCAGACGCACCCCTGGCGGAGAGTGAGGCGGAACAGATATTTGTGGTTCCATCGACTCGACCGCTTCTCTTCAGGGTTGTGCGCGGCGACTCGCTGAGGGTCATCAGTCCACGCCGTCGGAACGCACGGTATGATCCCAGCATGTGCGAGAAACCTGGAGCCCTACTTATGCCAATGACTGCTGCTGACGTTCGACGCAATCAGAAAGGGCGAGTGGCCCCCTCGTATGACGAAGCTACAGGCATCCGACAATACGACACTGTGGCTTACACCGTTGCGCTTTCTCCACACGCGTCAAAGATCCTTGATCTTGAGGCGCTGGCGTTGGAGGACGTATCCGAGCCACTATGCCTTCAGGAAGCACACGCACTGGTTCGTCGAGATCCCCAGCGAGTCCGCTTTGAACAAGCCACCAACTTTCCGACGTTCCTTCACCAAGACGGCGCCTGAAAAGATTTGGTTGGGAGTACCTTTGTCCAACTTCGACGGCAAGTACCTCGCTACCATGAGCTCGAGGCACCTGGAAGCGCACCCACACTGGATCTTGTCGACAGGACAAATTGTTACGGATAATATCCCAAATTGGAATATCATCTGGCAGGTCGTCGCAATATCAGAGTCGCCTGGTAATAATATATCGTGGCGCGTCGCCTACGGTCGACGTCTGACAATGGTTCAGGCCCTGCCCAGGCACAAGACAGGCTGCGTCGACGTCCTGGAGCCCAATCAGTGCATTAGAGCCGGCTGCTGGGAGGACCGGGTCGATACTGCGCAATGGGCGGAAATCAGGCAGCTGCCTGGCTGGGATGATGGCGTATGTCGCGTTTGCCACATGGGACACAAGTCCAGATATGGCATGATGGGTTGTTCAGTATGTTTCGACGACGTCATCTACGAGGCGCTCCCGTACCATCCCAATAGATTTCGGCCTGCGACGAATTGGAGGAATGCCTGAATGCTTAGAGATCCGAGGCCTGAGATCCCGCCCCATGAGCGCGGTGGTGGCAGGCAACGGACACTGGCAGCTCAGATACAGAATTCGGATCGTACACAAGCGCGTTGGCGGGACAACTGGAAAATCGTCAACTCCGAGGGCGCGCTCTGACGCTATCACCCTGCTATGTCGGGAGAGACAGCTACACTCTCGGCTGAAAGACCCGTGTTCGCTTGGATTCCATCATCACCGAATGACAAGCGCCCTGCCCATGGCAACAAGGCGCGTGAGGTCAAGTGGCACAAGTTGGCCCGTCGGTGGGCGACGTGCCAGGAGTATCTTGGCTGGCGCCCTACTGGCAATAGAGCGGCCTGCCCGACATGGAAGCGGTGGGCGTACCTATCGAGACAAGTGGACCAGTCCGATTTCAGCACGGAGATGGGCTTTCTTTGACAGGGGCGCCACGGACCCCGAGGCGCGGGGCAGTGCTGATCCATCTGCCTGTTGGCCCCGTTGGTGTCACGTCAATCGCGAACGCCTGCCACCGGGGCTCAACCAGCTTCGGCGAGACATCCAGGAGGAAGTAGAAGTTCACTGGCCGCCGAAGGAGGAAATTGCCGGCATCGAGGAGGAAGACGAGGAAACATAACATGTTCGGGACGTGCGCGCGCGCCGTCCCACCTCGGCACGGCCGCCACCTCATGCCCATGGCAGGCGTGGCAGATGTCGGCTCCAGGTTCGATCAGAGGACGCACCTAGAGCTTTCGGGGGTCGCGCCATGCGCAGACGGAACAGCTCTCGCGTGACCCGCCGCAACATTCACCAAGCTGACATCAGGCTATCCATAAACCAGCATCGCATCGCAAGGGCGGCTCGCGAGCTTGTTACATACTTCGCTGCGCATGACGAGCCTGCGGAATATTACCAGGCGAGTACTGTTGCCTCCTGTGAGGCACAGATACGCGACATGCGGTACGAGCCGCCCGAGTTCTCCGTCTACGACCCGGACCTCTTCAACGTCAAAACGCAGTGGATGTCAGAACAAGCCTACAGGGTCGCCATCGAATTGGCCAAAGACTTTGGACGGATATTGATGCGGGTAGCGCGGATGAACGCGCCATGCGAGGTCATCTCAAGGACGTGGGCCAGTTCCTCACGACACTGGCGCGCGAGCTCATCATCCTGAACGCGCGCCGCGAGATGTTGGAATTGGTGCACAGGGGCATCTATAGAAACCGATCGGATCTGCCGCAAGTCTCCACTGACGCGCACAAGATCGAGGCGCGCATGCAGTACCTGTTACAGTCGCACGCCACAGCGATCAGACGCGGCCAGCGGGCAACGCTGGACAGCTTCCAGCGCGCAGCCGTCGAGCTGTGGCCGCTACACGTGTACGAGGCTGCGGTATACGCATTGAACATGTGGCAACAGCATGGGGTGGCGCCGCCTGAATCAGACGAGGAGCGCCCCACCTCACGTGCGCCCATGGCACGAGAGGCACGGCGTCGCTGGCACCCGGCAACCACAGCCCGGGCAGCCCGTTCCGTCAGTCGCAAGCGCCCCCATCAGTCCCTCATCCCCACAGGGGGTCAGAGCGGCCGCATTCAGAGCAGCCGCTTTCTCGCGCACGGGGCACGGCCATAGGCAGCTCATCGAGCGGCGCTGCCCCGACGCCCCCAGAGGCTGCACAGACGGGGAAGGGCAGGCGACCCCGAGAGAAGGGTGGCAGTCACACAGCTTCCCCTCCCTCGGTGCGTCTGTGTCACTACGCAGACATCCGCCAATCCGAGCTAAGTGGCGCTGCGTCGTCATCTTCCCAGCAGGCCAATCCTGAGCCCGAGCGGCGCCAATGGCACGAACGGAGGCAAAGTCGACCCCCCATTGACCGCGCCTGGAGCGCGTGGAAGGGGCGCTTCCAGCCGCGCCGGAAGCAAGGGACCGGGCAAGGATAACCGTGGCAAGGGCGGTTACGACAGCGGGGTAGATCGCCGCCACGGCGACCGCGATCAATGGCGTCGCGATGGCGGGTGGCACTGGCACGCCCCAGACGCCCATGCGCCCGTGGCGCTCTGGAGGCGACGCCGATGCAGACACATGCGCCCTCGGCCCATGCCTGTAAGGTGTACACTGCGTGGCAAGCTGGGCCGCTGGCGGCTATGAGAGCTTCGCGCCCGCGCCTGTCCTAATTCGGCGCCGTCGGAGACTTGGGGCCCCGATGGTGCTGCGTCGGCCCTGGCCGGCCGCTGCGGCCGGGCCGCCGCGGGGGGGGTCGTTGCCATGCGTTCCCTGCCGCCGTTTATGTACATATACAACCTTGCTTGAACACATACTTGACCGAAGTCTTTTTTCCGGGTCGGGAACAGGGCCCGCGCGCGCCCCCGCGCGCTTAGCCGACGTCATACATTTTTCCTTTCCACATTGCTTAACGGACGCTCGAACCTCACTTTCCGGCATGTCCTTGGATCCGCTACTATGGACACCAACCTAACCAGTCCTACCTGATGATTTGAGCCCTGTTGAGCTTAAGTTGGGTAAAGATGCTTTCTGGCGGGCCTGCGCAGGCAAGGCCTGCGAGCGGGCGGTCTGGCAGCAGCTGGGCTGGAGCGAGTGGCTCAAGGCCAAGCGCGGCGAGGGGCCCGACCTCGACTGGAGCTCGGTGGCGGCCATCCTCGATGTGTGGAAGGCCTTCGAGCAGCTGAGGCACCAGCGCCTCATCGACGCCGCCGTGCAGCGCGACTTCCCAGTCTGGGCGGCGAAGCTCCAAGTCTCCCTTTACCACATGCCGCGGGCGCTGGGGCTCAACGGCGCGGTCTCGGACCTCATCGAAGTTCAGCAGGCGGTGCTCGCAGGGGACATGTGGGCCAACGCCTTCACGAAGCTCATCCCGCTCAGCCCGCTCGACCGCGCCCTGCGGGCCTCGCCGGGCATCGCCCCGTCAGGCGTGGTCGACGACCTGGTCTCCCAGCGCGTGGGAGGCAGCAGGCGCGCGACCGACGACCTCGCCGCCAGCGTCGCCAGCGTCGTCGGCGAGCTGCGCGCGGTGGACGCCCACGCCACGTCGCCGCCAAGAAGTCTCTCCTGCTGGCCGACACGCCCGCAGTGGCCGCGGCGCTCGAGAGCCGCCTGGCCCAGGCCGCCAAGGCGCGGCCAGCGGGCGCCGTCCGCAACCTTGGAGTGGATTACGCCCTGGCTGGACGGGCGCCCGGGCTCGTTCGTCGGCACCACCTCGAGCAGGCCGCGAGGCGAGCCCCACGCCTCAGGCGGCCCTTGGGCCCAGGGCGCCGCCGCCATGTCGCAGCGCGGAATTTCAAGCAGGGGTCGAGGCCACCTTTGCCTACGGCGTCTGCTGCACGGCGCTCGGCGAAACCGACCTCGACACCGCGCGCGCGATGGCGTTCAGACCAGTCGAGATTAGGCCCCCAGGCAAAAGTCGCACCGCCGTCCTCGCCGCCATCAGCAGGGACTACGACCCCGTTTCCAAGGCGACGCGCGAACCAGTGCGCACGCTGTGCGGGGCCGTCTGGGAGCGGTGGTTCCCCAGACAGGCTTTGGACAAGGCCTTCGCGGCGGCCTCGGCAGCGTCGGACAGCTGGGCCGACTGCCGCGGCCCCGAGGAGGCCGCTCGACTGTCCATGCGCCGCGTGGGATGGGAGGCGACCTCGCTCGATGCATGGATCACACACGACGGCTTTCGCTACAGCGTCAGCGACGCCAGCCCGTGGCTCACCAGGAAGCTGCTCGGCCGCAGCTGCGAGCATTGGCAGGCCAAGCAGCCCGGCAAGCACGACGCCTCCTGGCTCGACGTCGGCATCAACTTCGGCCAGCTTCGGCAGTGGGCGGCCAGCGCCCGCGGCACCTCCCACGAAGCACGGAGCTGGCCCAGCCGCAGCAGCGAGCAGCGCGGCCACCTCGGGTCCTGCATCGTCGGCGGTCAGTGGACCAACGCCAGAGAGTACGGCAACAACCCGAGGTGCGCCCCCTCGGACACCTGCGAGCTCTGCCCCAATCCCGTTGGAGACCTCTGGCACAGGCACCTCTGCTGCAGCGCCATCCCGAACCACGGCCTCGGCCCCCCGAGCGAGATCGCCCTGCTGCAGCCGCAGAAGGACAACGCGGTTGTCAAGTTCCTTGTCGTGCGCGTCCTGTCTCTTACCCAGCCGCTCCAGTGGGGGCCCCCCATCGGCGGCTTCCTCGACCACCTCCGCTGGTGTCGCGGTGAGCCAGGCGAGCTTTTCGTCGGCCAGCCACTGCGCTGCGACGGCCCATTGTGCGATGCGCTGCTGGCCGAGGGCCGCGGTGCGCAGGCCGCGGGAGCGGTCTTCGAGCTACCTCCAGGCCCCGAGGGGGTCGATCCATGCGTTGGCAGCCGCGCCAAGGCGCTGCGCGCGCCGCTGGTTGGTCCCTGGTAGAGCACCGAGGGCGCGGAGCTGATGGCGGTGCTCATCGCCCTGCGGCATGCCCCCCCCCCTATCGAGCTGCGCTGCGACGCCGGCTACGTCGTCGACGGCGTCGACCGGCGGGGCGAGGCCCGCGCGACGCTGGCGTCCTCAGCGCGGGGGCATCTCTTGCGGCAGGTGCGGCAGGCGCTCCGCGACTTCGGTGGCGTAGGCCCAGCGGGGCTCACGATCGTCAAGATCAAGGGCCACGCCACCGCCGCCCATGTCACCCGCGGCATCATCACGCGGAAGCAGCGCCGTGGCAACTACGAGGCCGACCAGGTCGCAGGAGGGATCGCCCACCACCTGCGCGCCTCCTCGGCCGAGAGACAGAGGTAGCAGCGTGCCCAGGTCTTCGTCGACGGCGGCGCGCGCTCGGCGGCCACGGCTGGCGCTCCAGCGGGGCCGACAGGCTAGACAGCATGCGCGGCTACGTGGCCCGCGACGAAGCCAACGAGGGCCGCCCCCTCCACGCTCAGCGCACGTTCGGCACGCTCGGCTCGGGCCCCTGGCACTGCGCGGCGCGTCTGCGCACGGCGCGGACCAAGAAGTCGAAGCAGGTGCGGCGTCGGCCCCCGCGCGCCCCCAAGATCGCCTCAGCGGCCAGGAAGGCGGCGCCATCCAGTGCGGCAGCAGGCGCGGCCATCGCGGCGGCGGCGGCGGCAGCCGCGGCAGCCGCCGACGGCGCCGACAGCGACAGCCGCCGACAGCGACAGCCAACCAGGAGCGCTCGGGCCCGGTCGGGGCCAGGACCCCACGCCGAGCGCGGTGGGTCAGGGGCCCGCGACCGCAGGAGAGGCTGGCTCGGCCCGCGGCGTGGGCCCAGCGTCGAGCTCGCGGGGCCCGCCAACTGCCCCTGCGGGGGAAGCGGCGGCCCAGGGCGCAGCCGCGGCCAGATGCCAGGTCGCCGGGACTGGACCACGGCCTCCCGCGGGCGGACCTCGGAGGCAGCTGCGAGGTCCCGATCCCCACGGCCCGCCACGGCGCAGCCGTCGGCGGGGCCAGCGGCGCCTGCTGTGGGAATGACCGACGCCGAGGACAGCCCGCCGCGGGCGCGCGACGCCCTCGACCACATCGCGCAGCGTGCATTCGGATACGTGCTGCGCGCGAGGTGCCACGCCTACGCCAGAGAGCGCCTCGGCAGCATCGAAGCTCTAGCGGCTCAGCGCGCCCCGCGCGCGGGCGAGGCTGGGCCCATCCGCCGTTTCCGGGCTGACCGCGTTCGGCGGCGTCAGCGCCCGACCACCTCGGCTCGCCCGGCCGACGGCGCGGCCGCTGGCGAGGCACCAGGCTTCCCGAGCGCCGCCGCCGCCGCCGCGCGGCTGGGCTAGCCGCTCACTCTTCGGCGCCACTCGCGCGCCCCGCCGCCGCGGCCCGCGCGTCGTCGGCGGCTCCCCGCGCCGCGACGGCCCGCGCGTCGTCGGCGGCGGCAAGCTCCGCCGCGGCGGCCCACGCGTCGTCGGCGGCCGCCCCGAGCCGCGACGGCCCACGCGTGGTCGGCGGCGTCGCGCTCCTGTGCGCCCGCGGCGTGCGCAGGGGGCGTCGGTCACCGCCGTCCTCCCGGGGCTTTGCCCAGAAAGAAAAAAACGGCTGTTGCGGTGTGCGCAGGCGCTGTGGGGGGGGTCGCCACCTACATGCTGCTCGCGTCGTCGTCGCTCGTTGCTCGTCGCTCGTCGCTCATCTTCGTCGCGCGCGCGGGCGCGGCTGCGGTGCCGGAGCCGCGCGGCGGGGGGGGGCGTTGCATTCCACCCCCGGCCCCCCCCCTCCCCGTGTAAAAACGCGCTCCTACTGCGTCGGGGGCGCGAATCTTATGTATTTTGTCGTGTCTCAGTGCCCCCCAGAATTTCTGCGGACGTGATTCGGGGATGCCAGAAAAGGCGATTTTCGGATCCCCCCCCTCGCGCGGACAGTAACAATTTGTAGTAAGAGGCAGAAAGCAATATTGTAACATTGGAAACTGGACACTGGAAATAGCGAAGGGAGCAGCAAACCTTAGCCTCGCAGCCTGATGGCCCCACCAAGGGGCCCGCGGATCTTTTCTCGACGTCCCCTTCTTGTTATTGTAGTGGCCTCCGACCAGAGCCGCCGATGCGGGGCGCTATCGATTCTGGTTGCAAAGGAGGACCTTTTATGTTTAAAGAAGCACTCGCTCGAGACAGTCTCATAAGATAGGAATGTTGAACTCGCTTGGGCAACCGTCGAAGATCCGAAAGTGACGATCTCGCGTAAACAGCCAAACTCATGGGATGTATCTTCCCGCCTTTTGGGTCTGAATGGCGTCAGCCATGGCGTCAGCCTCCGCCTCCCCCGGCTTCTCCTTCCGGGGCCAGAATGGCGTCAGCCATGGCGTCAGGGTTCCGTCCCTCTCCCCCCTCCGGATCCCCCTCCCCGGCCTGAAGGGCGCCAACCATGCCGTCAGCTACCCTCCTCCTCCCCCCTTCCCCCAAGTTCCTCCTCCCGGGTCTGAATGGCCTCAGCCATGGCGTCCCCCCCCCCTCTCATGCCCATGGCGTTCTCCCCTTCCCATCCCCCTCCTCCCGCCCGGGCCTGAATGGCGTCAGCCCTCCCAGCCCCCCCCCCCCGACACCCGAAATGGGTACGGAAAAATTGGGTACAATGCCCAACAACAAATGTTACCCCACCCAAACCAACAGCGGCCGCTGTTGGGTAGGCGGCCTTCTGTCTCACATGGACACAGGCCGCGGCGACAACGACAACGAGTCCTGTACATAATGAACAGGAGCTGCTGTTGGGCATTGTACCCACTTTTTCCGTACCCATGAAGCCCCCCCCTCCTATTTCCCGGGCATGAATGGCGTCAGCCCCTCCCCCCCGACAGAGCGAAGGCCCCCCCGCCCCCCCCCCTCTTTTCTGCCGGGCCTGAATGGCGTCAGCCCCCCCTCCCCTCCTCCCTCCACCCCTTGGCTTTCTCCCCCCCGCCCCCTCCTCCTTCCAGGGCCTGAATGGCGTCAGCCCCCCCCCTCCCCTCCTCCCTCCCGGGCCTGAATGGCGTCAGCCCCCCCCCCCCCCCGACAGAGCGAACCCCTCCCCCCCCTCCTCCCTCCCAAGCCTGAGTGGCGTCAGCCCCCCCCCCTCCTCCTTCCCGGGCCTGAATGGCGTCAGCCCCCTCCCCCCCTCCTCCCTCCCGGGCCTGAATGGCGAGGAGAGAGGCGCTGTCGGAAAAAAGGGAGGAGGTTTCTCGGAGAGGTGAGGTCTGTCCTGGAGGGGGGGGGGGTGAGCGGCCGGGGGTCTGTAGGAGAGAAAGTGGAAGAGCGGAAAACGATATGTCGGAAGGGGGGGGGCCTGTCTTGGGGGGGCGGCGGGGTGGAGGTCAGTAGGAGAGAAAGCGAAAGAGCGGAAAGGGATATGTCGGAAGGAGGGCCTTTTTTCCCGGAAAGGGCGCAGGCCCAGGGTTTTTTTTCCCGGAAAGGGCTCCGGCCCAGGGTTCTCTTTTAGTTGGTAAACCTGTCCCCCGGTGCCAACTTGAAGGAGGCCGGCGGATTTTTTCCCTGATAAATATCGAGGTCGAAGGAGGCCGGCGGATTAAAATTTGAGGATGTCTCAGGCGAAACGCTTGTTTTTGAAATCCCGATCGATAAATCACAGGGTGCGGGGCACCTCAGCACGACCACGCCCCAGCACGACCACGCCCCAGTACGACCACGCCCCAGCACGACCACGCCCCAGCACGACCACGCCCCAGCACGACCACACCCCAGCACGACCACACTCCAGCACGACCGCACCCCAGCACGACCACACCCCATCACGACCACACCCCAGCACGACCCGATCGATAAATCACAGGGTGCGGACCACCCCAGCACGACCACACCCCAGCACGACCCCACCCCAGCACGACCCCGCCCCAGCACGACCACGCCCCAGCACGACCGCACCCCAGCACGACCACACCCCAGCACGACCCCACCCCAGCACGACCCCACCCCAGCACGACCGCGCCCTAGCACGACCACAGCCCAGCACGACCACGCCCCAGCACGACCACACCCCAGCACGACCCCACCCCAGCACGACCCCACCCCAGCACGACCACACCCCATCACGACCACACCCCAGCACGACCCCGCCCCAGCACGACCCCACCTCAGCAAGACCACGCCCCAGCACGACCACACCCCAGCACGACCGCACCCCAGCACGACCCCACCCGAGCACGACCACGCCCCAGCACGACCACGCCCCAGCACGACCGCGCCCCAGCACGACCACCCCCCAGCACGACCACCCCCCAGCACGACCACCCCCCATCACGACCACCCCCCAGCACGACCACCCCCCAGCACGACCACTCCCCAGCACGACCACGCCGCCTTGGTTGAGTGGTTGCCTGTCGTCGTGGAATGTTTCGTGGGGTGTATCGTGGAATGTTTCGCGGGATGTCTCGTGGAATGTTTCGTGAGGTGTATCGTGGAATGTTTCGTGAGGTGTCTCGTGGGATGTTTCGTGAGGTGTCTCGTGGGATATTTCGTGAGGTGTTGCCTAGTTGTGTATCGTGCAAACGTGTCCATGCTCTACATGTCTATATCCCTTTCCGGGTTCGTGGGTCCATCATGTTTAGTGTGGTAAACCTGTTCCTGGTGCCGCAACTGAGGTGGGCCGGCGGATTCTTCCCCTGATAAATATCGAGGTCGAGGTGGGCCAGCTGATTAAATTTTGAGGATGTCTCAGGCGAAACGCTTGTTTGTGAAATCCCGATAGATAAATCACAGGGTGCGGGCCAGTCTTTCGTGTTTTGAGGATGTCTCGAGCGAAACGCTTGCTCCGCAGAGTTACCGAGGATGTCTCGAGCTACCACCTCCCAGCACGACCACCCCCCAGCACGACCACACCCCAGCACGACCACTCCCCAGCACGACCACACCGCCTTGGTTGAGTGGTTGCCTGTCGTCGTGGAATGTTTCGTGGGGTGTCTCGTGGACTGTTTCGCGGGGTGTCTCGTGGAATGTTTCCGGGGAAACGTTAAAAACGGTCGCCCGTGTCTCGTGGAATGTTTCGCGGGGTGTCTCGTGGAAGTGTCCGTCGCCCAATACGGTGTCGTGAAAACGTTTCCATGCATGCGGTTCTGTATCCCTTTCCAGGTCCGTGGGTCCATCATGTTGGGGGGGGGGGTCATGTTGGGGGGGGGGTGTCGGAAGGAAGGGGTCCGAGAAGAAATTTTCTTTCGGAAAAGGAAAGTCTGTGTATGCGTGTATGTGTGTATGTGTGCGTGTGTGCGTGTGTGCGTGTGTGCGAGTGTGCGTGTGTTCGTGTGTGTGCGCGTGTGCGCGTCTGCGCGTGTGCGCGTGTGCGCGTGTGCGCGTGTGCGCGTGTGTGCGCGTGTACGCGTGTGCGTGTGTGCGTGTGTGCGTGTGTGCGTGTGTGCGTGTGTGCGTGTGTGCGTGTGTGTGT